AATGAATATTTGGTTTTGCATTTGGTGGACACTTCGCGAAAACTAGTTGTATAACATTGTTCTTTCTTGTGCCTCCTTAGATGTGTTTCGTGTTATTCAAGGAGACAGCAGTTATAATCTCAAGAGCGGACCCTCAAATTTTTCAACAGGTTAGTTGACCTCGCAATATGTGAAAACACCGGAGTAAAGTAATAATATTTTCGGATTTGGTAAATATCAGGATTGGTTAAAGGCCTGGCACTTTGACTCTCAAATACTTTTGTCCAAAGGATCAGTTTGCCAAGCTTTATGTAAAAACTTGTCTTAAGAGATTTTTGCTGCACTGAAATGCAGCTCGGAGTAGTTTGCATGTAGGAAATTGTTGTGAGACAACATTGGTTCATTTAATTACTCTACTACCCTGGAAACGGACAAAATTACGCTTTATCGCGCAAAACGTGAAATTACTAATTCACATGATTTTCCAGTCAGGAAGTTGTGTCTTCCTCCTCAGCAAATACTTCGCAGTACTAGGCTAACTGACTTGAATGGTTCCTAATCACAGACACTTGGAGACAGAAGAGTTAATTTCTTTTTACTGGTGATTGAGACGGTTTACGGCAGCCTAGCCTTAAAATGCCTTTTGATATAATGCACAGTACGCAAGTCTGATGCTGTTACAGCATCCATTAAACTAGACTACTACTCGTTGATTTTGCAATTGAAATGAAAGTAATGTTTGTTGACGCCAGATTTTCAAAGGTAAAGGTAAATGCCAGCCTAAGTTTGTGTGTTTAAGTGGGAAATGTGTAATCGCAAAAATTGTTTAACTGGATGTCCAGGAATTAAACTAAAAGCAGCAACTCTTACAATTGAATTTGCCAATGTGGCTTTTGTTAGCACTTCTAGCATTAAAGGTATTTTTGCAACTTTTTCCTGTAGTCCTTAGCATGTGTTCTCCAAATTAACCAGGAATCCTTATTTCCTCTGTCCTGCTTTTCAAATGCTCCTGTTACTTCTAAATCGGACGTTCCTGTTATATCCCTAATAGATTTTCTTGGACGGATCTCACTGATACAAACCTTGACAAATTTCCCCTCCCCTAGATCCGGGTTCAACGTCGAGTCACCGGTGAGTCAAGACGCATTTTTGAAAGGCATCTTCCAATGCCAGTATTTAGAATGATCCAGTGACTGTTACACCGTTAGGGAAAGTGGTGATCGGTAATGTAAAGAACCAGCCATGGCAGTTTTCGTTCTCCTGACGGTTTGTTAGTCCAAAATGGTGCTAGATGTCCAGCAGGGCAGTGATTACTGTTTTCATGAAGCTAGTCATTACACTGACTTATCTAAATGAAATTTCCGTAAATCGACTGTTAATGTTGCAG